ATAGCTACTCCAAGTAGTACCGTCTGCTCTCATGCACAGTGAAGATTGTTGATCACTGGGACCCTTAGCTTAATGGCCAGGTGGTTTTCAATATATACTCTCGTTGAGACCGCATGTATCCGTCTATACACCACATGCCATATTTGAACTTTCATGGCGTTGGTGCTTTTGATGAACGCTAATTTTACAAAATGAAACATGGCTTACTCATTCGAAATGATAGTATCGGAGTTACCATGGTTACGATGTTTTAAATAAAAGTGAATTCAAAGTCTTTCGGAATATATTCCCGTACGTAGGTCGAAGACTAGTTCCAGTTCCGAAAAACTCATTGCGTGGACTTTAAAGTCCCTTCCAGAGACTTCACCCTTATTGAAACACTGAACATTATACTTCTTTGCAGGCATCCCCACTTCAAGGGCGTCACCCACCTAGACCCCCTGCGGCAATGCTGTTTATTCGGTCACTGAAACCTTATTTGAGTGTTAAGTTAAAAGGTTTTCTATGTTTATAATAGAGATCATTTTGAACGCAAATCGTAATAAGAATAGGCTCAGAACGTGACCGATCAAACGTTCTTTTCGAGTGCTTTTTGTTGCGAGCGTGCGTTCATGATCAATTAAGAACACATAGAGCGCGTCAAAATATCTGTTACTGGAATGAAAAGCATCGATATTGAAGTACGTGGTGTCTTAACTCTAATAAAAATTAACAATTTGTTGCACCTGGCTTTGTTGTGCAGTAAAAATATCATTTGACCAAAATATTGATGCTAAACTCTCACGTGCCGTAATATGGAGACGTAACTAGATAACACAGGAAAAAAATCTTATAAAAAGGACGTAGTAAAATAACTGAGGAAGGCGATTGATCGCCGAAAYGGCATGTCAAAATTTGAAGCCGTCTTTCTTTTTCTAAAATTATCATAGCAAATATTTAGTACAGACGATTGCTATTATATCACTTCCACTAAAGTGTTCGTACTCAGTAATTTTCGCTTTTGTGATTCAGTTGTAAAAAAACGAGACCGGCAAAGAAACAATTTTACGCAAATGCTCGTATATTTAAAACAATTATTTAGCAAACCCGTAGAATCAATTCCGCGAAATATGCCTGTTCCGATTTCGACAAATTAAGTACCCATTAAATTATATAAATTAGTATAGGAGTTAAGGTATTGGGTGCACAGATAACGTACATCATAAWCAACTCTATGCCGAATAAACTTTTCAATTTTTTTTCTTTATCTTGTTTTTTTCTTTTCTTTTTTTCTTTCCGTCCCTTTTTCTCCCTTTTTTCTCTTTCTTTCTTTTAGGTTTTTTAATCCTCAATAATATCCTAATAATATCATGTTCATTTTTTAAGTACCTGGCAGGTTATCTTCGAAAAGGCCGCATATTAATGTACGCGCGATTCGAAAATATCAGCTTTGGAAAAGCGTTCACTTTCTGAAATATCCAGATACATACAGATATAACCCCCTCGTTTGAGCGGTGTTTTCGCAGGTTTAGTACGAGACAATAGACCTCTGTAGCTTTTACGTCATGTACCGTATACACAATGCATTATAGGATATGCATGTTTGGGACAAAACATGGCGGATTTCTTTTGTTTTCTCTTGAAACTGATCCCACAATGCATTGAAAATCAAGTAGTGACGTAAAAGGTTCAGAAGTTTATAGGCCTAAACGTATAATGCAAAACTATGCGGTTTTGAAAATATTCAAATATTGTGAAACACAGCCTTTATGAGTTGTTTTTATTAAAATTCCGAGATGAATTAATTATYGCTAAAATTTAATCCGTAAACATTTTAAAAATTGCAAATGTTGTAAATACCMACTCGTGTATTTGGAAATAGTACGATGCTACTATGCCCCTAACAGGTGCGTGGGCAAGGTTGYTCCAGGAGCTCAAAAACGACCATTACAATACGGAACTTTTTTTTCCAAATCAATAGGGTACCACATATTCGGATATTCTAACAATTTGTTCGTTGCGAATCCAAAACAAATACTCGTGCATTTTTGCTTTTTTAAAATCAGTCGCCTTTTTCATCGCCTTGAAACCGTCAAAATAACGCTTAAAACCTCCCTTTTCGCCCTTTTACCCCAACCCCTCTCTCCCTTCCTCCTCATGAGGCCGCTGCGCACGGCCCTTATGTGATGACGTACCGCGTAGTAGAGTAAATACAGCACAAAGGAACATAACAATACCTTTTGTTGTTACTAATTATTAGGTGCATTTAAATCAAAAGATTCGTTTGTGAATTTCGGAAGACGGAAATTAATTTGTCAAATAGATGRAAACTCGTCACGTGATAATWGGACGATCGCATGTTTAGACGAATAGCTTATCATTCTTACTCGTCCAAAYACGGAAATTAAAACTGTGGGCGATTAGACGAAAGGCGGCTTGAATTCATGTAGCTGATCATAAAAGCTTCGCCAGATGAATACAGTTCAGTTGAAACAGTTCTTTGGATGGATCTTACGTAATATGTATCTGATGTGACAATGGTCAATTTTGAGCTCCTACAGTTTTGGTGGGCGTTTCTACTAATATACTTTTTTTATTTCTTATTTCTAGTTACTATACATTTAAAAATTCTAATCCTTCTGTAATGGTCTATAGTATCGGAGCTGTTTACTGTGCCAATAGAGAGAGTGTCATCAATTGTGTTCAAACTAATATGAAGCAATTTGCTTAATGATTTAAATCACTCAGAATATCCCACGTGCGTTGATATCACATGAAAAGAACGGAGGCGAAAGTCACTCCGTTGATGCAAAATTAATGATCTTGAAAAGCTTATGCAAAATATATTTAGACTTTCGGTCAAGAACAATTGGTCAAAAGGCAACTCGTTTATAGCAGTCAAATCAATCGCAACTGATGACAGAAACAGAGTTTTTATATAGTTTTAATCCAAGAACTCTAGATAAACTATTAAGCAAGAATTTCCTTTTAAACGAATTATTAAAAAAACTCTCAATTAAAAAATGAGAATATAGGTAAAAAGAACGAAAGAGAAAAAGAAACAACTTGTTTTGCGTCATTTCAAGAAAGAACAGTTGATCACCGATCTTTTGAGAATTCGTTAAGAACACTTGATCAAAAGAATCCTATATGTGCATTTCACAGGAACAGTCAATCAATCTGAATGTGATGATAGAGCATCTTACACTAATTAATTATGTATTCGCTTTTCACTGAATGTCAAAATTGTTGAAACTTACTATTTCTTCTGAATTGAACTTTCTGAAAAATGGTCGTTGGTCATTACCATATTTATTTAAAACAGTGGCAAAATAACTCCTCAAATATTAAAGCATATGGTTTACTTAAAAGCCCTTTAAAATCCTAGTAGGGTCAAAAGAAAATCCGTTGAAATATGAATTATTCAATAGAGATATTGACATATGCGTTTCCCTCCGACATTWGGCAGTTTTGAAAAACATATATTTCTATAGCTTTTATTGACATGTGCTAGACTTTCGCACACACCTTCTAGRTAAAAGATATACTTTAGTACCTTAATATGGGACGTTTTTTTAGTTTTCTTGGATTAAAAAAAAATGTTGGCGGACATTTTGGAGAAAGGTTTTGATCCATGGTTAGCAAATGAACTAGAGACTTAGAACACACTTGATCAAAAGAAACCGGCAGTCCTAGCCAGACATTTCATCATAAAAACATTCGATGAATCTGAAATGATAGAGTTTCTTACACTTCATTATGTAATTGTTTTCGATGTCCGCTTACAGGAAAATGGGTGGAAGTCTTCTCATTCCCCCGCACGAGTATATGGTGATCACGTGAAGAGTTATACTACTCAGGCCCACGCACGGTCCCAACTCCCACGCCATTTATCCAGATCGATATGTTTTTTGCCAGGGCTTTTGACATAATTGCCGAAGAGTTTTGCACTTTTTCTTTCTTATTTCCAGATGATTTGTAGACAAGTGGGAAATATAAGCATGCTTTTGTGATTCAAGCTCTCCAAGATTCTTGCCGTCTCCTGCCGACAAAGGTAACGCTAGAAAAGTAACAAAACAAATGTTTTTGCATCTGCATTGCGCGTGATCAAAATTGCGGAAGCTGAAGCTCAAGAAAGCAGTCGATGAATTTCAGCTAAAAGTGAAAAATTTACTCAGAAAATAAACTCATTTCGAGGTGCAAAGAACAAAATTTGCGAAATAAACACACAGCCTTGACAACTTGATCTGAAATCTGGATCTTGATTACACATCACAGGTGCATCTATGCAAAATACATCGACTATGAACTAGCGAAACAACAGCTCACTTATTAAAATACCAATTCGAAATCTACTTTAAATCCATTAGCTTCTTATGAATAATTTAGTAAAAAATTCACAAAAAAGCAGTTAGGTAAAAAAATATTCAGATATGAATTTCCACTTATCGGTTTCTCGGTCATTTCTACACTCGAAAAAGATTGGTGGATAGTTGGTGACCGGTCCTCAATAAAAGCAAATTTCACTCAGAAACTGTGCCATGTAGATATAGCTATCAGTCAAAACAATCTGCCCGGTTTTAAGATAAATTACTTGACTAAAATCGTATGATGCACGGAAACTTTTTCCGCTGAAAAAATGTGCATATATATACCTTAAATTAAGTTTGAAAGCTGGGTATATGTCAGTTGATCTATTAAGAGTTGTCGGCTCATATTTACATCGATTAAGGATTTTGTTATTCAGTCTTCACATTATGGATATTTTCTCTTGCTTATATACAGCATTTACAGTGCAAAATATCGCCTTGAGTAATACTTGTGATTGGTACAGTGCATTACAAAATTGCTCGGTACCGTGACTAACGCAATGTTTGCTCAATGATGCGTTACATTAGCCTTGTTTCCATGACCACCATTGTTTTCAAGTGATGCCTTGCAATCGCTGATCACGCACAAACTAATCGATCAAATCAAATACCCGTATGTGACGAGTCAGAGGTCTGATCGCACAGAAGAATTTCTCTAAACAATGAAATTCATGATGAGATTGCGGCGAGTTTATTGACATGATGGTAGCGCAAAGTCTGTGTGAACTAAATGTACACTAAGGAAAGGTCTCAATTAATTTGTCACCGATGGCTCAAAACGGTCAGTTCTGAATCCAGGGGAACTTAAAAATACGCCTTGTTGATACTAGAACGCAAATGAACATGCATGTGTTTATATTCCTTCAGTGCCTAATTTCAGCGCGATTTATCAAAGTGGAGTTGTAGTACTACGGAGTGGTTAACTCACTGCAGAGAAGTCCGACATCTAAGCTAACCCGTCGATTCCTAATCTAGGAGGCTATAGACAAGAAAAATCCATGGCCACTTCTAAACCAACATGGCCAGTACCAGATACATCACAGACCCGGACAAAGTTGAACGGACAACCGAAATATGGCAAGCCAGCGCCGCAAACGAAAAGGCCAAAGAAGCCTCCAATTGCTGTTCGCCCGAAGAGAGCTGTGTTTTGCCTAACATTGGGCAACCCTATACGAAGTGCTGCTATAAGTCTAGTAGAATGGAAATATCCTTTTTAATACAGCATAGAATGGTTGTAGGAGTTTTGAGTTTGGTATTTGTTTTGCCTTTCTGTGCGATAGTGGGAGTGATGGTTGTGTTACGTCGCTGCCGGGCGTTTCGCGTTATCTGTTCAAAAACATTTGCTTCTGTTRGGCTCTCTCTTAGTCACCTTTACTTCTCTCATTATAGTTTTCCTTGACTTAGTCTGTAGGCCGTTCGATGTTATGATATTGATAACTATTTTTGCTAATTGTGCGGCACTGGCTGCTTATCAACCGCTTCCAGAACAAGACAGCAGTTCGGTCAACGAGGAATTAGTAAGTAAACCATTTCAATGCTGCCTGGGTTTAAATAATAATGTTACCATTTAACCAAAGAGAATACTTATTCCTATATTATATACCTCATGCTAATTCATAGAATACTAGCAGCAAAAAGCGAAGTAGTTTCAGTTTTGGATCGCTAAAAGTTATTCCACTGCATCGGTGGTTTGAAAATACCAGTGCAATGTTATGATGTGAATTGGTTAAAATTCACGTCTTCGGCTGTCCGCAAATCTATACACTGTATTCTCTTAATAAGCAGATGCGCCTAATGTGCGTATTATAAAAAATACGCCATTTGGAAAGACCTGAATCATTGTTTTTACCTAATAATTTACCCATATGAATCAGTCCTTTGCTGAGACGATAAATTTATTTATAATCTTTTGGGGCTGCCCTTTTAACACCGGCACTAAGTCACAATAATCAATGATGATGCAGTGAGCTCGRCTGTTATCAGCTCACAGGTTTATTGCTCTAAGTATTTTCAGGATTTTGGCTGAGTTTTGTTGACACTACTATATAACCAATAAAATCTGAAATATATGGCTTGTTTTATTATGAGACTCGCAGGAAACCTGTGTTTTTTAGAATGGTATTTATTCCTTCAATGATGATCTGTGTATTTCCTTACTTTTCGTCCYGAATAACCCATGAATCTTTAATAAAGGTTTGTCTAAGCTGAGGCTAATTTTGCCCATCAGTTGTCAGCAGTTTTGTAATAAATATTAAAATCAACCGTGGTAATATCGAACACACGTTGTGGTAGAATGTTTTCTAGTCTAAAGACATGACCAGCAGACATCAATGTTTTATATCACAGAATTCCTAACAAGGTACAATTAGCAAAGCTTTTTCAATGTGTGAAAAAACAAAGCAAGTGTAAAATGCGTTTTATGGGACTCAAGTCATTGCGCTCATTATTTTCTCACGCCTCATTGCACACTACTCGTCCTTGTAATCGATTTTTGTTTTGTTATTTGGCGTGTTGCTTCGTGGTTTGTTTGCTTTTACAAGATATAAGATTAACCACATTTAGAGGCTTTTAAGTATCCTGTCACAAGTTAATTATCTGGTATGATAGCACGGACTGTGGTGCTTCAACCTTCTTCGAGGGAGGTAGTACCTCTTCACTGTCTACATTTTCTAAGTGTTTTGCATTTTATGCATTCCCCTGCCTGGAATTAATGATTAATACCTGGAATTGATGAGCCGTTTCGTCTCTGCGATATCAATGCAGATGGTGGCTATTGTAAATACTTGAACAGATTTATTGTATATTGTTCATAGTTCCCTGTTATAAAATCAACACTTGAAGTGTTTTGAGTTATTCAATTATTTTGAGTATCTTTGCCTGTCAATAGTAAACCAATTTTCTCTTATGTAATATTGATGCAAACCAATTCAGATGTCTTGAATTTTACATCTTTTTTCCTTTTTTTTTCATGAACACCTGATTTGCAAAGATATATTAATTGAAGACAAAAGACAAATTATAAATTACCAATAAATTTCACCAGTCTAACTTTTTTTGGTCTTATTTCCCTTTAGTCATTTTGTAWTTTTTTTATATTATATATTTTTTAYTTGTTTGTGCCTGAAYGCATTTTTATACATTTCACAGAAAATATTTGAAATCACTTTAAACTTTTGCATTTAGTGAAACTATATGAAATGGTCAGCTCAAATAATAACCA